GAGTGTGTGTGTGTGTGAGAGAGAGAGAGAGAGAGAGAGAGAGAGAGAGAGAGAGAGATTTTCATTCCTAAAGTAAAACCATTAAAATAATCATTTATCTTGCTGATGGTAGACATGCATATACACAACAAATAAAAGAAAACCTGCTACAATTTGTTTTCTAGTTAAATTTAAATCAAGCAGAGGCAAAGCAATAGGGCAGGCAATTGCCTGGGGCCCCGCATTTTGAGGGGGCCCCTAAGAGCTGATCATTTAAACAATCAGAAATGTTAATATTAATGGAGAGTCTATTTACACTAAGTGCAACTAGTCCACCTTGTTGGCAGAACCTAATTACACTAACTCCGCCCACCAAGGTCTGGTTGGGATAGGCAAAAATTACAAAAGACACACAATAACATAATGGGTCTCACGGAATAAACTGAACTAGACTAAAAGGAACTATGCTGAATGAATTATCTCATTTAGCTGCAGAAATATAGAACTTCTCAAAGAGACACTGTAACTGGACTGCATCTGTTAAATAATTGAGGTGTTAAATTACACGCATCAAATTCAGTTTAGCCTTTGTTGATGAAACTTTTAATTAAACCAGTTTTATATATTAAATTTGAAAAAAACTAAACAAAAAACTAATTCAGTACTGTGAAAATAATGACTAATGTTTCCAAAAAGAGACACATAAAACATCAGTATAAATTACAAAAATACTTTTTTTAGCATCATTTCCAAGGATTTCAGAAAAACAGATTACTTTATATCATCAAAATATTAAAGAAAAAGGCAACACAAAGAAATTAACTTCTTACTGACATCTAACATTAAAAAAAATCCATTTAAAATGTGTGGTCATTCAGAGTTTGTTATGTAAAACAAACAGTTCTACTTTTGCACAATTGCACAACGTTTGCAGTGGTAAAGCAGTTATAACACACGTGTCCATGAGAAGAGATACGCGCAGGTTCAGAGGTAGAATTGCAATCAATACGATTTTTAACAAGCTCCTTTTCTTATACACCGGCCCTGTAATAACAGAGATCCAGAATAGTATTTCATATGCCTTAGTTCATTCAGATTTGATGGCAGATCACCATGGCGTACATGGATTTGGACAATCTCTGATATAGGACTCCAGAGTACCAGTAGACACTTCCATCAGTGAGGTGTAGGTTGTCAACTGTAAAGACAGGACAGAAAATGGCTTCATTATCACTTCATATGACATTTGACTAGATGCAGAAATGTGATCAAACACTATCTCTCTCTCTCTGTCTCAAAAATAGCTAAAGAAAGAAAGAACAATAAAAAACAAAAAAAATTGAAAATATAAGTGTGATATAATTAAGTATGAGGCTGTTATTAATTCAACTTAAAGGAAGACTTACTTTATTAAGAACTGGTTTTGTTGACAGAACATCATATATTGATGCCAGAGAAATGTTCTGTGGAAAATACAATTTTGTTATCTACTATAAAACATGTCTTCATGAAAAATTAGTTACTAATTATGCTCATTATTTTAAAAGCACTTCAAAACTATTCTAAATTACTACTACAAAGCCGTTTTATTCCTAACACATAATGCCACATACCGCTTGTGTGGTTTGATTCATGCACTTCATTGCCGGAGTTCTACGGTCATCAAATATCATAGGCTTTTCCCAGTGATCATAGTTTGTTTCCAGGACGTACCATCTCCCAAGCTTCATATCAAGTCTTTAACATCAACAACAATCAGCAAATTTTAGGGCATTTTAAAACATTGCAGACAGAAATTTGATAGTTCTGTTTGATATGATTTACTCACTCCCAGATGTCTAATGTGTTTATTCTCGTCCTGGTTATCACACAACCCTGGCCCGTTCAGTTACCACCCAAGATGAAGTAAGCAGGAGCAAGCAGTTTCGTCTGAGAGAGCTGGTCTTTGGCATCCTCATAACTGCAAGTTAAAAGAAAAAAATTAAGTTGTTTTAAATATAATATATTTATATATTTTTAAATACTAAAAATGCATTTTCAGAGTGTGAAGGTTACTACTTGATCTGATGAAGCTATTTTGAAATTATTACAAAAAAAGTGTGTGAATGAGAACTATGTGGTCATGACAGCGAAAACAAGGAATTTGCATTAATTTGAATTTGTTATGTTAGTGTGTTGTTGTTTTTACCTGGTAGCATTTTCCAGAACTTTGCGAGTAAGAAAACCCATCCACATTCCATCTCTCCTGCCAAGAATCCATTCCAGAATCCCTGTGAGAAATGATGATGTTATCTAACCAGTCAACCATCAAGAACATCTAGTTGCACCCATGATTTGTAGCGAAGTTTAGAAGAAATATATACATAGTGCTGTGTAGTGTTAGTTCTTTACAAACTTTAAGCATTCTAACAACTGTTTATATACCCGTCACTTACACTTCATTTGTCATAATCATTTAAAAAAACAACAATACTTTACCTACATAACCCCCATCAACGTTGAAACGCTCATTCATTGTTAGACTGAATTCACCCTAAAAAAGTAGAACGATTTGTACTTGTTTTAAATTTCCACAAAAAGAATCATCTTTTTTCTTTTATAATTTACTTACTTACAGGTCTAATTCCAGTAAGCATGCCAACATATCCAGCTAAGTTTGTTGATTTAAAGACAGTTTTGTTCCCTCTTTGGAAATTGACATTCACCACAAGAGGCTTAAGCTTCTCTGTTAAAGTCCATGTTTTATTCTGTCGATCCCACCTTTATGAAAAACACATCATTCTTATGACATGATATAAAGTGAATATGTATGCTGAAGACAATTCTATGTGTTCCTAAATATTTGTCAAAAAAAAAAAATCCTACCCCATAAACAGTCCAAAATCCAAATTCCGGGAGGGAAAAATTTTCGAAAAAAAAAAAAAAAAAAAAAAAAAAGGAAAATGTTTATTAAAATGAAATTTGATTTAAAACATTATGCAAACTTATTTATATATTCTCACCATTAAAGTCTTCTGCAACAACTGATGTGCAAACAGTGAAAACCTCATAAAAGATATTGAACAGCGTAATTTCACCTAGAGGGACACATAAAATAAATTAAAAATATATAAATTTGATAGATTAAAGTTATACCTTTTTAAAGAAATGGGGATAATTAGGCATAATTAAGGAGTAACTTTGTATTGACGGATAGCACCTTTTTGTGTGTGTTATTGTATTGTTTGAGCTTTAATTTTATTAGATTGCCTACATTTTCCACAATTATTATTTAACAAATAAAATGAAAATAATCAAAAGGGAAAAATCTGACCCAGAGGGATGCCAGAAACTGCTGCTATTCCCTTAATTTCTTCATTGAAAGGTTGTGGAAATGTACCCACAATCAAAGGCTATAAAACCGTGAGAAAATAAATCATAGCAAAATAATAACACATCAAAATATATAATATCAAAATGCATTTTTAAGATGTTCAAGTTTGTTCATACATTTAATTGCTTACCAGCTCCTCGTCCACTAAATCAACAAGTTTTCCATGGAAAAAGCCCTTGGCCAGGTCTTTTATTGTTCGTACCATTGTGATCAACTGTAAAGCAACATGATTAATGTAAAAACAATCACAGCGTTCTTGTTTAACATAAAGAGACAGACACATTATTAAAGCATCCTCCAGACACACAGTGGGTATAGAAAAGAATCACCCCTTTAAAATAATACTTTTTTTTTTGCTTCGCAGCCTGAAATGAAGACAGACAGTTTTTGTTTTATCCAGTTAAATGTACTCAGTGCAACTTAAAACATCCAAGTGAAAGTGCCCGAAAACTTTGTCCGTCTTCATTTCAGGCTGCAAAGCAACAAAACATGATTATTTTAAAGGGTGGTGATTCTTTTCTATACCCACTGTAATAGCAGAGAATCAGTATTCAACACACTAATGTTGACACATGCAAATACATAATAGAGCACAAGGTCCAAGACCTAACAGGCAATAAGAAGACAGTTACCTCTGTGTTTTTATCTTTGATCACCTGCGTCCATCTCTCACTAGGAGGTAAATCGAGATTAACGGTGTACCAGGTCACATTACCTTTAACCCTAGATAAACCACAAAAGGAGATGAACACGTTATTCTCACGACTCGTGTGATCTCACGACACCGGTTTACCAGCCACCACCACAAGTGAAAGAACAATCGTCATGAGAATTTTCTGCTGTTGGAAACATGGAGAAAAACATTTTTTTTGGTTCATTTTAATTATCACATAAAAAGGTCATAATTATGACATAAAAAGTCGAAATCATGACTTTCTATATCATAATTTCTACTTTTTATGTCACTTTCGACCTATCTCAAAATTAGGCTGGTGTCATAATTAGAACATCATAATTTTGACTTTTCTATCTAATAATTTAAACTTTATCTTAAATACGACTTTACATGATTTTTTCCCCCTTATGTGGCAGAAATGGGTTTCCATACACCTGGTTACATATAGATAAAAATAATTAAAGTCTTCCCCCTTACACAGCTGTGATTTTTTTAGGTTACTCAGCACAGATATTGAAAGGAAAACAGAAACAGAAAACATGACAGAAATAAAGTTTTAAGAATTTTTTTTTTTTTTTTAGAAAGAGAACGTTTAAAAATGAAGAAACAGTTCTCATTTTTCATGTTAGAAGTTAGAGTAATACATATGGTTAAAATGATACTTTATCCAATGTTTTAAGACATGTATAAAGGAAATGTACAGTGGGTATAGAAAATAATCTATATTTACAATAATCACATTTCTTTTGCTTTGCAGCCTGAAATGACAGTTTTTGTTTTATCCAGCTCTATTTACTATAACATCCAATGCAACTTATAACATCCAAGTGAAAGATATAACACCAACATGTAAGAAAAAAAAAAAA